GAGGGCACAGTTCAGCCTGGGTCCCCAGCCTCACTGTGGTGAGCTGCCCAGCACCTAGGGCAGCAACAGAGGTCACGTGGTGTATGCCGGCTTTCACCAGGGCTCCTACAGGGGCCTAGTTCGTGTTTCCCACACTCTGCTGCCAGGGTGTCTTTATAACTCTGTTTATGCTCGGGTGGGTAAGTGGAGACCTGAAGAGGTGACCTTGCCCAAGTCGCAAGGTCAGTAAGTGGCAGATCTTGGAGATTTTTTGTTGTTTCTTTTTTGTCATCGTTGTGTTTTTTGTTTTACAGAGACTATACTGAGCTACACTCCCAGCTCTTTTTTATTTTGAGACAGGGTCTTGCTAAATGGCCAAGGCTGGGGTCAAATTTGAGATCCTTCTGCCTTAGTTTCCCAGAGTTCTCGGCTGACAGGCAGGCACCACCACATCCAGCTCAGATCCTGGTTTTGAACCCAGTTTTCTCTGGCCCACATTCATGGTCTTGGGCTCTCTTGTGGGTGCCCAATCTTAGATGCAGTGAAGATAAAGCCCTAAGCAGATAAAGCCCCTGTTCACAGAAGCGAAGAGCCCAGGATTCCAGCCCTGGCTGGAATCTGAGGGAGGAGTGGGGAAGCTGCAGGCTCTCAGCCCTGTGCTCCTTGGCCAACAGGTGCCTGCCATGCGGTCCCGGCTCCTGCTGTCTGTGGCTCCACTGCCCACCATCCAGGAGACCTCAGAGGAGATGCCGACCTCCGACCCTGGGCAGGAGCCCCCAGCCTCCCCCAGCCTGGAGGACTACGTGAGGTCCATCTGCCAGTTGGCACAGCCCACCACCGTGCTGGACAAGGTCATCCCCTGGGACCGACCCAGCCAACCCCACTGGGCAGCCCTGGTCAGAGAGAGGAGCCTGGCTTCTTCCCCCAAGGAGAGCTCTGCCAGCTTCAGCAGCCTGTGGCCCACACTGCCCTCTGCTGGTGCTGCTGACCCACTGGACTGGCTCTTTGGAGAGTCCCAGGAAAATCAGAGTGGGACAGACTTGCTCAGGAAGGCAGACCCATCTGCCAGGCCCTGGAGCTTGCACAGGCAGGTGGACAGCGGCAAGGCCAAGATGCCAGGGCGGTCTCTGGTGATGCCATCACAGCACAGGCACCAGGGCACCAGCAC